GCCGCGCGCTCCCCACCGCACGTTCACAGGCCGGCCGCGCTCTCGCCGTCCCGCGCTTCCACCCGCGCCGCGCCCTCGCACCCCCGCCCCTCGCTCCCTCCTCCCCCACACGCCGCGCGCTCGCCCCTGCGCGCTGCACCGCCCCGCCGCGCGCTCCCCGCCGGGGCTCAGCCCCCCAAAACACTCAGCGCGCGCCCGGGGCATTTAAAGGGACAGGCCCCCGCGCCGGAGTTGCCCCGCGGCCGCCTCTCGAAGGGGTCCTCGGTCGCCGCGCGAGGTCTGAATTGGGGGACCCTCCCCTCCCCCGGCGCCACCTTCGAGTTACACCCGCCGAGAAGAGCAATAGGGTCTGCGTCTGGAGCTCCGACAGGGTCGTCGTCAGCTTTGAGAGGGCGTGTTACTCGATAGTAACTCCCAAGTACGGACTATTTATTACCCTCGGAGGAGCCATGTAACGCACAAGTTATTTCAGGCAATCCTTAGTACGAGCCCCTGATTTCTGTGCCCCTTTTTGCACCGAGGGAAAACTGAGGTCCAGAGAGGCGAAGAAACTCCTCCCGCGGCTCCTGACCCCATTGCTCGGTGCTATTTTCTTCTCGGTGGCTGTGGAAATAACGACTGAGGTTAATAGCCGGTGGTGGAAGGCTTTCATTAAGTTGTTGAGAGCTAATGTGACCAGTGTTTCCACGGGGCGGCACAGCTCTCGAGGGAGGGAGAAAGCAAGAATTACGGGGCTTTATTAATTGTAGGGTTGGTTGTGCACCCAGCCGGCAGGCATTCTGAAACCCGTGTTCCGAAATGCTGTGTGTGTGTGTGTGTGTGTGTGTGTGTGTGTGTGTGTGCGCGCGCGCGCATCCCCATTTTACAGAAAACGGGGGAAGGAAGTGGCCGCACGGAATGACTGAGTCACGGCGGCGCTCAGGGCCGAGCCCCAATACCTTCGTCCTTAGCTCATTTCTTTGCCCTCCCCAGGAAGACGGACCTGATTAAAGGAGAGACACCTTTTTCACTAATAACACATTGGCCTCAACTAACTCCCTGCATCTTTAATTAATGTTTACAAAGCACTTTAATCTACCCAACATGCTGGTTAATTAGGCAAGTATTATTATCCGCCCCTTTCTGAACCCAATCCAGGAGGGAATCAATACTGCCGGTCCTTAATCCTTGATGATAATGGGTCTAAGCTTTCTGCTGTTTATTTATTTATTTTTGAACATATTGTGTTAAATACTAATTCATTTAGCATGAATTGGCTTAGTAAAAATTAAATATTAAACACCCGCCAGTGAGAGGTAATATAGGTAACCCTTGTCTTTAAGGATTTCAGATAAAGAAAAAAGTCATTTTGTCAAGTGCTTCCTAGAATTCTTTTTTTAAACATTTTTTTAACGTTTATTTATTTTTGAGAGAGAGAGAGAGAGGCAGCACAAGCGGGGGAGGGGGGTGCAGAGAGAGAGGGAGACACAGAATCTGAAGTAGGATCCAGGCTCTGAGCTGTCAGCACAGAGCCCGACGACGTGGGGCTTGAACCCACAAACCGCGAGATCATGACCTGAGCCAAAGTCAGAAGCTAACTTACTGAGCCACCCAGGTGCCCCTTTTTTTCTTTTTATTATTGTGCTTTTTGCTTGGTTAAGTTTTCATGATATGTAAACTTATGTTTGGCTTACTTTTTTAAAGTTTACTTAAAATCTCCGATTTACACATTATCTTTTGTGTAGAAATTAAATTTTACTGTCTTTTCTTACAGATGAAGAAGAGATAAAAAGGAAGAAGCTGAAGGATGATGGGAGTAGGAAGGAAGAGAAGAAAAGAAGAAGGCAAAAACCAACCAACTGAACACCACTATCACCACCAAAAAAAAGAGGTGGGAAATGAACAGGGATGAAAGTTTCAAGCAGGTGGCTTTGGGGCCATGAGCCCAGCCCCTGGCCAGCACACACCCCAGAGCTTTGTGGGAATTACAAACAGGTGGACCTTCCTTAAGTTGGTGCAGACCTACCCAGGGCTGCCACGTGACTACCTGAGCACAGACTGGCTTCCAGTCCCCGGTGCACCCTTGTCTAGGCACCTCTGTGCCCACGGAATGACACAAACGGACTAAACAACACAATGAGAGGTAAGAAGACAAGAAATAGCTTAGAGGGGTAATTTAAAAAGAGTTATTCATGAAAGTACTTAGATGACGTCAAGGGAGAAAAAAGGAACAAAGAAACATCTGGTAAGTCTTTGTATCTCCTATTGTTATTACTTTAAAAGCCATGGAATTTATAAAAATTTACTTTATGTTCACTGGAGTTTTATATGTCTTCTGAGGCTGCTCTTTGTTAAGAGAATCCTGGCAATCCATGACCCCCAAACATTAGACAAATATTATTATGAGCTTTGTGTCATGAAAATTTTTGAAGTAAACTAGAAAAATTAAGCTGAACATACATTTTTGTTTTATAAAAATAATTACTGTGTAGCGTCCACTTGAGAAACTGCAATATCCGTGATGGCCACTAGAGGAGGCACACACGAAAGAAGAATGGGTAGTAATTTTCATGTTTTCTTTACTAAAAGAATATAGCATTTTAGAGCTGAAAGAGGAGATCCAGAAGAAATGATTTTACTTTATGCCTTTGCCACTTGGATGTGCAATTTTGAGCTGCTTTTCCTATTTTAGACTCAGCTCCTCATCTGTACAACGAGGCTACTAACACCTACCCTGGGGAAGGTGAAAATAAAATTATTATTAAATTTTTAAAAAATGTTTATTTTTGAGACAGAGTGTGAGCAATGGAGGTGCAGAGAGAGAGAGAGAGAGACACAGAATCTGAAGCAGGCTCCAGGCTCTGAGCCGTGAGCACAGAGCCCAATTCAGGGTTCGAACTCACAAACTGTGAGATCATGATCTGAGCCCAAGTGGGGCGTTCAACCAACTTAGCCACCTAGGCACCCTGAAAACAAAATTATTTTAACATTGACTTGAATAAACAGCAGATGAGAAGAGTTAAGAAATGGATAAAAATATGATAAATTGCACCGTTTTTAATTGAAACATAGTTCAGGACTATAATAATTAAAAGTGTCAATAGAACAGTAACAGATGTTGAGTGATACAAATAATAGAATAGAATCAATAATCCAGAAAAGGATAGTGTTGGTATAGTGTTGACTGTGAGATGTGATGACAGAGTCATCTAAAATAAATTTAAAAAGGACAGATTCTCAATAAACAGGCTTTAGAAAACTAGTAATTTGAAAAAATACTCACTGTAAGCCTTACCTTTCATTATGTGCTAAAACAAATTTCAGCTACATTAAAGAATTTTAAAACTAGGAGGAATTTAGTCAGATATTTGTGTGATCTCAAGATGAGGGAAGAAAAGAAATGGAAAAATCGTAGATGAAATGGCCATTAGACTAGATTACATAAAAAAATTTTAATCCTGACAACTAAAAATATTGTGAACAAAATTTGGAAAGAAAAAAACTCTATAGAACTATGCATAACAAATCTGACAGTTAATATCATCCTCAATACAAGAATACCCATAAATTGACAAGAAAACTTAAAAAACTCAATGGGGAAATTACCACAAAAATAGTAATTGATTAGCTCCCTCTCTCTGTGTGTATTATATTTTAAAGTGTTTGGACTAGCTAGTAATTGAAAAAGTAAAAATTTTAAATTGTATATAGCATCCCTATTAGAAGATAGTTTCTTAAGTTTTAATATTCAATAATGACAGGGGTGCAGTGAAATGGGAAATTTTATATACTATTAGTGGAAGCATAAATTAATATAACTTTACTGGAAAGCAATTTTATAAAATATTTCCCAGCTTTATTTATTTTTTTTTTTAATTTTTTTTTCAACGTTTATTTATTTTTGGGATAGAGAGAGACAGAGCATGAACGGGGGAGGCGCAGAGAGAGAGGGAGACACAGAATGGGAAACAGGCTCCAGGCTCTGAGCCATCAGCCCAGAGCCTGACGCGGGGCTTGAACTCACGGACCGCGAGATCGTGACCTGGCTGAAGTCGGACGCTTAACCGACTGCGCCAACCAGGCGCCCCATTATTTCCCAGCTTTAAAAATGTTTATACACTTTGATCATATGTTTCCGTATCTGTATGGAATTCTATAGAAGTAGTCAGAAATGAGCACAAAGATGTGTGCCTAAGGATATATATTGCTGTCTCCTTTTTATAACGTCACAAAATTGGAAACAACCAAATATCCAAAATTGGAGAGAAATGAAATATTAATAGCTTTTTAAATTGAGGACTTTTCTGGGGTGCTGCAGTGGCCCATCTGGTTAAGCATCTGACTTTGGCTCAGGTCACGATCTCATGGTTTGTGAGTTTGAGCCCCGCATTAGGCTCTGCACTGACAGCTCGGAGCCTGGAGCCTGCTTTGCATTCTGTGACTCCCTCTTTCTCTACCCCTCCCTCACTCATGCTCTGTCTCTCCCTCCTTCAAAAATAAAATAAACATTAAAAAAGAATTAAAAATAAAATAAAAATGAGGAATTTTTCGTGGCTACAAGAAAATATCTAAATATTGTTAAGGGGGGAAAGAACATTACAAAATTATATGTAAATTATTATTTCACGGAAATACATTTCCACATACTTGGAAAATGCACGTATGTATGGAAAATTAGAAGGAAATCTGTCGAAATGATGGCAGTTACTGTTTCTGGCTCTGATTACATGATTCTTATTTATGGTTCTGTTTATGTTCCAAATTTTCTGCTATGACTCTATATTACTTTTATAAATCAACAAAACTAATAAATATTATATTTCTGTATGAGACAGTAAATGCCAACGTGTATAGCATTGAGCCTGGCTTATATCAAACATTCAATATATACTTGATGGACAATGAGAGAAAGACAAGAACGCTGTTATGCTGCCAGGAGGTTTCTTAGTGAAGTTTCTTGATTTGAAAGAAGAAATAATTGGGGTGCCTGGCTCAGTCATTAGGCATCTGACTTCGGCTCAGGTCATGATCTCATGGTTCGTGAGTTGGAGCCTCACGTCGGGCTCTGTGCTGACAGCTCAGAGCCTGGAGCCTGCTTTGGATTCTGTGTCTCCCTTTCTCTCTGCCTCTCCCCTGCTCGTTCTCTGTCTCTCTCAAAAATAAATAAACGTTAAAAACATTTTTTTAAATAAAGAAAGAAGAAATCATTTAAAAAGTTAAAAAGGAAATATTTAATCTACTTCTACAGATGAAGAATTTATGACCTGGAGGTTTTTTGGTGGCACATTTAGAGGAAAACTAGAAAAGATGATGGTGGAATGGTTCCATACTTCCTGAAAGCAAGTGGATGAGGTCTGTATTCCCGGGCAGTATTTTGAAGGAGAAACATGTAGAAGAAACAAATATGGAAGAAAACAGTAAACAAGTTATTCTTTAAAAAGAAAATTTTGGGGCGCCTGGGTGGCGCAGTCAGTTAAGCGTCCGACTTCAGCCAGGTCACGATCTCGCGGTCCGTGAGTTCGAGCCCCGCGTCGGGCTCTGGGCTGATGGCTCAGAGCCTGGAGCCTGTTTCCGATTCTGTGTCTCCCTCTCTCTCTGCCTCTCCCCCGTTCATGCTCTGTCTCTCTCTGTCCCAAAAATAAATAAACGTTGAAAAAAAAATTAAAAAAAAATAAAAAGAAAATTTTAATGTTTATTTTTGAGAGAGAGACAGAACACAAGCATGGGAGAGGCCGAGAGAGAGGGAGACACAGAATCTGAAGCAGGTTCCAGAATCTGAAGCTGTGCTGACAGCTCAGAGCCTGACACGGGGCTCGAACCCACAAACCGTGAGATCATGTCCTGAGTTGAAGTCGGATGCTTAACCGACTGAGCCACTCACACACCCCTAAACAAGTTATTCTTGAAACTTAATGGTAAGCATTCAGAAAGAGAAGCAAGACCCCAAAAGATCCCTGGGGAACAGGAAGTGCTGGTCAGACAGGCTTTAGGGCCTGCCAGTGAATGAGGTCCACACAGGGAGAGAGGAGGTATGGTGCCCATTCATCCTTCACCCAAATATTCTTTGTGGTCCCAGGTGGCAGGCACTATTATGGGCAAGGTCCAGGAGGTACAATGGTGGACAGCATGCAGAAACCCCCTGCCTACACGGACTTTATGGTCCAGGAGGGCTTGGGGGACACGGACAAGACTCAGGTGATAAAATGGTTAATCACCAACAGTCTGTTAACCCACAGATAGAATGTAAGTGATTCTGTAAATAAAAGCAATAGTGAGATGAACTACATCTCTCCCCAGAGATAAGCCTAAGGCATAATTCGTAGTTAAAATTTGACCAAGTTCAACTTGTTTTGCTTCATGCTGATCTCTGGCTAGTTTTCAGTTTACAGATGGAGTATGCGAGGCCGACAGGGTTTGGAAATGGCTTGTGTCTGAGGAGACTGGGTATGGGGCAGCTGCTAAGGGAAGGACTTTTATTTATTTATTTTTCAAATATATATATAACTTTATTTATTTTGAGAGAGAGAGCACAAGCAGGGGAGGGGCAGAGGGAAGGAGAGACAGAACCCCAAGCAGGCTCTGTGCCATCAGCACAGAGCCCAATGTGGGGCTTGAACTCACAAACTGTGAGATCATGAGCTCTGAGCCAAGGTCAAGAGTTAAAAGCTCAACTGACTGAGCCACCCCGGTGGCCCCCCCCCCCCCCCCGCCACCTCAGCGAAGGAAAGGAGAGTCTTAGGAAGTTTCCTGTGTAAGGTGTCTGTTAACCCTCACCACCTTCCCAGCAAACCTTCACTACCTCCTCCATTCCTCCTGAGTGTTTTTGGTGTCAGGAGATTTGAATACGGGCCAACACCAGCCTCAGGTGAGTGTCGGGTAAGAGCAGGACTCAGTGAGACTCAGTCCTGTTTGTGTCACAGAGCGGGTACCACATTTGGAAGGAGAGAGAGTACAGTAGGTGGAGTACTGTATGTGTGTCGTTTGTTGCCTTTCTGCAAAGTTGAACTTCTGTAAACCCATTTCAGTTGAAGTATTTCATTACATCAACAGCTGAGTTTGGAGGTGGACATTTTTCTATACAATTCTGTTGTGAACCAGTAGAACTTCCTGTTTGATCTGACCCTGAACTTGAGGATGTTAATT